TCTTGCATCCTGTAACAGTTTTTACTTAATTCTTGCTTTTTTTTCCCCTTGCCAGATACCGTATTTTTCGAAGTATAAGATATACCTTTTCCCTGCAAAAATAGAGGCTGAAAATCTGGGTGCGTCTTATACACTGAATACAGCATTTTTTGCCTCCCGAAACCCTGCCCTCTTCACCAAAATGGCCGTGCCTAGCCTTTAGGAGGCTTTCAAAGAGCTCCTGGGGGCTGGGGAGGGCAGAAATGAATGAAAAACGGGCTGGTTTTTCGCTCAATTTTGCCCCCCAGCCCCTAGGAGCACTCTATAAGCTTCCTAAAGGCTATCCATGCCCTTTTTTGACAAAAAATGAGCCTGTTTTTGCAAAAAACGGCTGTTTTTTTGCTCATTTTTGCCACACCCCCCCCAGGAGCACTCTACAAGCCTCCTAAGGGCTGTTCAAGCCCCTTTTTTGAGAAAAAAAAGACGGGCCTGTTTTTGTGAAAAATGGGCCATTTTTGGGAGGTTTGCAGAGTGCAAAAACATTTTCTAAAATTTGCCTCTTCAAAACCTTCTTGCGTCTTATACTCCGGTACGTCTTATACTCCGAAAAATACAATATATTTTATAATTAGTTTATTCAGGTCTTCGAAGTATTTTTCCCCAGCCTTATCGGAATCGTTTGAAATAGATATAATAGCCTTGGTAGTATATTCATTTTGAGTGTAGCTATTCTTCCTATTAACAATAGTTTTTCCATTTCTTCAAATCTGCCTTAATTTGTTGTATCAACTTGTAATAATTATCTTCCTTTATTGTTACACATCTTGCTGTTGATTGAATCCCTAGATATTTTACTTTCTTTGTAATCTGAATGTCTAGCCTGTTGATTAGTTCTCATTTTTGCTTTTCCATAACATATGCAGATGACTTAGTCTTTATTTTAGAAGAATCAAAAGAAACAGGGCCTAAATTGTTAAACAGAATGAAATGTATTCTGTGAAATGGCAGGTCTGAAAAGAAAGAAAGAAAGGATTCAGATCTTAGGTGGCCAAAGCATTTGAGCCTCAGCTCCAGGACCTGCCCTTCCAAAGGGCTCTGGGGGGGGGGGGGGCGTTTCTCCAGCGCCACAATTGGGAAGCATCCATTCTTGGCGCTCAGCCTTCCTGGTGGCCCAACAGTCACAGCCACACGTGACTCCTGGGGAAACCGGGGCTTGCTTTGACTAGAGAGAAGGTGGCTGGGAAGGTGAGGACTTCGCTTTGTAAGGTGCTGTCTTAAGTTTGCCATGGCTTCCCTCCCAAGGAGAAACATCTTCTCATAACTGCTGTCACCACCTGCAATGATCTTGGGGGCCCAGAAAATAAAATTTGTCACTGCTTCCATTTCTTCTCCTTCTATCTTCCAGGAAGTGATGGGACCTTCGCTTTCTTAATGCTGAGCTTCAAGCCAACATTTGCATGCCCCTCATCAAGGGGCTGCTTAGTTCCTCTTCGGCTGACTGGTGTCCTGAAGAAAAGAGGGTTCGGGGGTGGGGCACTTCCCTAACAATTGTCCTGGAACGCTGACCACAGTGTCCTTTGGTGCAGCTCATCTGGTCTGGCAGCCCAGTTTCAGTCGAGTTGGAGAAAGACACCTGGGGCCTCTCCCGCCGGACGGGCTGCTCTTGGGGCATCTGCTGCTCCCTGCCAGCATCTCCACCCCGTCTGTCCCTGCCTCTTGAAAGGGGCTCTTGCTGCATCTCATTCCGGAGAGCCTCCGCAGCCCCACGTTTCCGTTGACCTTGCACACCAATTAGGGGATGAAGGAGCCAGTGGGATTAAGGCTGTGGGAGGAGTGCACCCAAGAGCTGAGAGAAGCAGGCAAAATGCGTCTCCCTTCTTCCTCTAATCCATCACCTTTCTGCAGGAACCAGCTGTGAAACCTGTTTGAAGGGCTGAGATCATCATTTTCCTTCAAGGAAGCTCAGGATTGCAGGCAACCTCCCACTCCGCCACTTCCCAGGAAAGGCCACTCGCAATTGGCCAAATTACCATTAAATTTCCCAAGATCAAGATAATTTCTTTTGGAGTAGCCTCGTAACCGGCATCCAGGTGGAGAGGTTGTCCCAGTCATCCACCTCCAAATGCTGCCATAACAAGGCAAGCGTTGCGAAAGCACAGCCGGGCGGCTTCTTGGCTGCGCCACACCTGAATTCGATAACCTGTCCCCAAGGGAAACTCCCAGCCGTCCCCACCGGGCTCTCTGGGGGAGGGGGAGGTCCTGTCAGCTGATCCCCCTGCCTTGAACCAGTGGGAGACCCAGAGGAGGAGGAGGGTCTCTGAGCTCCTCCTGGAGCTGCTGCTCTCCCCAAGCCCCCTTTCGGCCGTCTCTGCCCTCACCCACCAGCGACAAGAGGCCTCTCCCTTTAAAGCTTTGCCCCCTGTCGCCCCAGACCCTCCTGCTCCCCGGCTGCTGGTTCTGTTCTCAGGTGGCCTCCCTCCTTTCACCCACTCAGGGCTCCCTGGGCTGGTCTCGCCTGCACCAAACAGGGGGAGCCTATAGGAACCCTTGCCCAAACATTTCCCCCCTCCTCCCCCCTTCTTGTACCCAGTAACTGAAATCAGTTTCAATCCAGCCCAGCGTGCTCACATTTGCAAACCGGTGGCAAAGGTTGGTAGATTTCACCACGGAGTAAAGGGACTGAGAAGCAGTTTGTGGGGAGCTCCAAAATCTGAAAGGAAAGCTGTTGATGTGTGAATCTGGCAGAGTCTCTCCTGTCATCCCAGAAGAAGTAAGTGGCCTCTGCAAGGCCAGCAGCAGCCACACCGGCCCCTTCCTGGTCAACAGTCCACCTCCAGCTGCTCCTTGTCCTCCAGACGTGGGAGGCAGTATGGTGTGGCCTTTGCCTCTGTCCACAGGTCTCCCTCCAGCCGAGGTCTGATGCCAGGAAGAAATGCCTGGGTCCCAGGTGACGGAGGGTCTACGGACTTTGCCGCCTGGGGAAGTGACCTACACATGGTGGGCCTGGCTTCGCCTGGGGGAGGCCAAGGACTGGACACTCTCCTCACAGGACGCTCCAGCTCACAGCTTGTCCTCTGGGGGGCTTGAAGACTCTGAGAAAAGGCTTCAGTTTTGTCTGTGGGTTTGTAGGGACTTTGGTGAGGGCTGTACCGGGAGGGATACAAGGAGAGGGTTAGGCTACATTTTGTGGGCGGTCTCTGTATTTATGCTAGCTAGCGTGCCCGTCTCCACTTTCCAGGCAGTGGGTGAGGCACCTGCAGAAGGCTTTTCATTTCCAAATGGAAGATAGAATCCTGGGGTTGGAAGGGACCTCGGAGGTCTTGTAGTCCAGCCTCCTGCTCAAGGAAGGCGGCCTTGTACCATCCCGGTCAAATGGTTGTCAACTCTGTTCTTGAAAACTTCCAGCGATGGAAAACCCACAACCGCAGGAGGCAACTTCTCTTCCATTGATAAATTCTTCCCACTGTCAGGAAATTTCTCCTCACTTCCAGGTTGGACCTCTCTCTCTCTAAGAAGCTCCTTCCGCTACTTCTTCCCCTGCCTCCAATGCCCTGGAGAGCAGCTCAACCCCCCTCTGCAGGACAGCTCCCCTCTTCCCTCCCCCATTTTTCTCTTAGGCTACACAGGCCTTGTCCCCTCAACCGTCCATCTCTTTAGCCCCCAGACCCTTTGTTATCTCTGATGCCCTCCTCTGCACACTTTTATGGTCTCGGCATTTTTTTAATATCATGGCGGCCCAAACCTGGCGGAGCATTTCAAGTGTGGTCTTACAATTGCAGTATAAAGCGGTACTAGTACTTTGTGTGGTTTCGGTGTTATCCCTCTCTTAACGCAGGCTGGGGTTGCATTGGCCTTTTTGATAGCTGCAACACACTGCTGGCTCATATTTAAGTGGGGTTCCACTAGGACACCTGGATACCTCTGGAAGTTGCTGGAGTTAAGCCAGGCAAATAAAGAGATGTTTCCTAAGAAATGTCTTGTGCCCCAACCCTAATCTTCCACGTGGGCAGGGGGCAGAGAGGTACGGATTAAGGGGACGGATACTTAACAAGGGCTTGGCTCATTTGTCTCCAGTTTTAGGGAGTGGGCTTTTATCTTTATATATAAAAGCGAAAACCACTCACGACGCATCACGAAATCTCCAGAATCGTAAAGCCTGCAAACATGAAATGTGGCACGTATGTTGCTCTTGGCTTTTAGGTGCTCGCTTAGAAGGGATTTTTTTAAAATGACCATCAGATCATTAGTATTTTTAATATTATTATTAACATGCTTGGATGCTAAGGAGTTAGGTGTTCTACTCCCCCTCTCAGCCTGAAAGTAGCTCTGTTCCGACAGCCACTTGGATGTGGGCATGGCCAGCCTGTGACTCATCCGGCCTGCTGGGTGGGAGTTTGTGGAGAGGAGCCTGAGGGAGAGAAGGGGATCGGATAGGGGAGGCTTCTGTGGAGCCAGGCTGAGGGAGAGAAGGGGAGAGGAGAGGCCAATCATAACTTCTCATTGATTTTCAAGCTGTAAGTGTCAATTTATCAACCCTGATCACATAGTTGTTTTAGCGGAGCATGGGTATTCAGCTAGTTGTCCAATAGAAAGTGTGCCTTCTCCTCCTAGTGCTACCAGGATAATAGCAGCACAACAGCTTGCTTCAGGATTATTTTTCTGTCAGATTTATAAGGCTGCCAAATTCCAAATCTGAGCAAGAGACACACTTAGGAAGGAGTCCTGCACAGCCTCTCTCTTAGAAGAGAGAGCAGGGATGCCACAGCCATCAACCTGCCGTCTAAGATTACCCATGTATGGAGTCCAGGCCTCCTCCTGGCCAAGCTGGGAACTTTCTGGCAAGAAAAGGAAGGATGGCTGTGAGGCCCCCACAGTGAGGTTTTACCTGCATTGAGGAGTCAAGATATTTCAGGTACAGGGAGAAAACGTTTATTTGGGGTATGCTAATCAGACAAAACGGCACTTGGTTGCACCGGGAGGCTCTCCTTAGGCATCACGGCCTCCTTCTTCCCCCTCACAGCTCAGTTGGGGGACACCGTGACGGTCTCGAAGGCCTTGATGTCTTGGAATATGTTGCAGGAGAAGTTGACGAGCAGCTGCTTCGTCCCGCTCTTGCTGGGACTGACCTCAAAGTGCATCTGTGAGCTCTGCTTGGCCTTTAAGGGGGGCACCCTGCAAAGAAGCAGCAAGGGAACTGGTCAGTTTTGCACCTGAGGAGCATCCAAGGGCTTGGAGCACCGGGCAGGGGCCCTCCACCCATGCCTCTCCTTCCCTAGGAGCTGGTTACTCTCTGTATCGCAAGCACCACTGTTTGAGGAAGGGCCTGGAGGCAGGCCAAAGCCAAAGGGGGTGTGGGCAAGGGTGTGCGAGGGTCAGCTGAGAGCCAAGGAGCCCTCATCCACACAGACGCAGGAAGGACCTGGGGAAGGCCTCTCCGCCCGAGAGGGAGAGCCACCTGATGCCCAGGCCCAGCTCTTCACATGGACTCTCAGCTGGGAAGCTCCCCCTCAGGGGCAACGGCCTCCTAGAAGGGAGGGACCTTGGAGACCAACTAGTCCACCTCCCTGCCCAGCTTGGCAGCATCCCCGACAGAGGGCCATCCGGCCTCCGCTAAGGCACCTCCAGCAAAGAAGTCTGTTCCACAGGAGGAGCGGACAGCTCAGCCTGGGAAAAGGGGACCTGGAAGTGTGTGGGGGGGGGAGATGAAAGGGTGCCACGTGGAAACTGCCCATCGCCATGGAAACCAGCGCCAGAGACAATGGGCGGCTGAAGCCAAACCTGGCCTAGCAACCTGTGACCTGAGGGGCAAAGAGAGGAGGACTTGGGGCTCTTCAGACGGAGCCCATTATCCTCCAGGCGTTTTTGTTCTGTTCCCAAGCCGGCTTCCTGCCCACTGAGGCCCCAGCAGGCACAACCTGCTTATGGGCTCACTGGGCAGAAGTGGATGGAAGGCTCCCCGTCCGCAGTGCATCTTCCCTCCACAACCTTTGTGGCACGGTTGGAAAAGGCTCAGTTTGACCTCGTCTTCCCCCCTCAGCAAAGCCCCCAAAGCTCCCCAACAGTGGTCCGGGGTGTTTAATTGGAAACTCCTCTCTGGCAGAGCAGAGCCGTCACCTGGACCCCCCCCCCCCCCCCCCCCCCCCCCCCCCC